GTATATCGTTTTGTTTTGTAAATTTTATGTAACTATTTGATGTAAGGACAATAAACTGATTATCTATCTATCTAGTGCTCTTTGCATACTGTGAAACGAGACTTACTGAGAAAAGTTTCCCCTGAGACTGACACCAAGATCTTTGACACCGAGAAGGACCTTGGAGTGGTAGTAGTGTTCTTAGATTTGTTACTACAACTTTTTTCTGATGATTCGCTTGATTAGAGCAGCTTATCAAGAGTTGACTGCGTTTTAACCTCTGGTATCGACCCACTTGGTGTTATGTATCGCATATTTCCCTTGACACATGAAACTATTCATGGATAATTTGGCGTTATCAAACGTATAAACTTATAATACACGCTGACAATGCTACTTTGCCAGTCTCATAAAGACAAATATTTTGAAATTTATGTGTTTTGTTATGCCATTTTGTTTCATTTCTTTTTAAATAAATGATGTAAGGAGAATAAGCTGATTACGTATCTATCTATTTATGGGATAAATTGACACTATATATAGAAATGTTAGATCTTAGTGTACATACTTTTAATATCTCCGAGTATTTTTTCAGATCACCCCCACCTCGTTTCTGAAGACATGGTTGTTCTTCCTTTTACTAAATCTGTCAGAAAAGCTCTTGGTTATTTTAACAATGAGCTTTAGAGCTACTCATCACCGCCTCACATGATTGCAATCGTAGGTAAAATGAGTTAATATAAATTTCTTACATTTTATAAACACAGTTTCGGTGAACAATATCAACATGACAAAAGGATGTAAAAAGAAAAGCTTTTTTTTAAACGCTTATTTTGACAGAATTGAACGCATTATTCTCTACTCGCATTGAAAGAGAAAACAATTGATTTTATTGAATTTTTTTGAATAAATAATTATGCTCACAGGATACAACAATTAACAAAATATATAATTCTAGTAAATCCCAGAAAAATTAATGTCCCAGCTTCAACAATTCACATCCCTGTTATTATCACATACAGTCTTAAAGAAACAACATGAAGAAACAGAGATCTCACAACCAATATCCCGTTGATCCCAAACTCCTGCAAAAGGCCCTGAAAAAGGTCCAGCGCGAGCGATTTCTTATAAGGCTTTTGACGAAAACGCGCTGCTGGCAGTTCAAAACATTGACACCTACTAAGGCTGAAATGGTCAATATTGACAAACTCTCGACAAACTCTGTCTCTTCTAGAAATAATATGGTCACAATGGTTTTGAGTGCCACTTTTTCCAATGACGAAAATGATCTTGGGCCAGAATTTGACAATTCCAGCGTGATTTTGTCAGAGGAGGAGTGCCAGCTTTTTGAGAAATATGCAAATCCCACTTATCTAACAGACCAACTCAAGAACCATGATTTATTAGAGCTTGAAAAACTTGGCTTACCTTTTCTTAAAAGAAGCAAAACACAAAGTCAGCAGGACAGTCAGGTAGATAGCTTTAAACAAGAAAAAAGCAGTGTAACTAGCGGAACTGAGGATGACAGTAGCTTGGAACATCACCCTGAAAATATATCTGCAATTATGAACAACCTTACACCAACCAATGCAAACATTAAATTAACTAAGGAGCAGGAAACCGGGGTTTTCAATCAATCTATAATTAAAAACGAAAATACTAATGAAAAAGTCAAGCCTGTTATTGATTATCAACTTGATAAAAGAATTACTGAAAAGCTGTTTTCAGAGCCTATTTTTAAATCTATATCAAAGCGTCTCAGTATTTGTAAAGCTTCTCAGACTATTCGGTCTTTTGTTTTGTCGTTAAATTCGCACTTTCGAAAAGCTGTCTAGTGACATTTTTAAAGATAGCATAGACCAATATGCTAAAAACAGTCGCCTCTGAGGAATTGATCAAAAAACAAACAATCTACTTCGCTAGTGGAAAACATATGGTCATAAACGAACCATTAATAGTATTTAGCAACTAGAACCACGATTTATTTTCTGAGAAATACTCTACTATCAAAATTTAAAAGACGGTCAACTGGTCTTTTTCTTGGAAAATGAAAACTTCAAAGTAGATAGATAATCAGTTTATTGTCCTCATATCAAATGAAGCCTCAAAGTAGTGGAGGTTCCTTTGACAATATCTTCAAACCACTCAAGTTGACGAAAATCAGTCAATTATGACAATGAGCGCTGTAATTGGACAATATAGACATGGAGTAATTGAACCTCAGGTCCTTAAACAGTCAATGCCAATAAAACTTTACAAAAACGAGTTATAAATAGCTAAGTGACTTTTTTGCTGCACATGAATGTTAAAAGATGAGTTGCCTTGGTATTATGCATTGCCAAGTTTGACAAATTGGACTAAAGGTCTATTAACACACTTCTGATTGACTCCATAACAAAAAGACGACAAGCATGTACGGGCGTCCTTTATAGAATGCTAATCGTCACAATTTCCACTGCATTGGAGTATTGGCTATTATTAAAATCTTTTTTTTTAACGCTTTTCTCCATATTATCAAGTGTGTTAATGCAATCTTAACAAGATCTTCTAAATCTGCCTTTCATTACAAAAGAGGCGTAGTTAAAAAAGAATTTGACAACAAACAACTTGATTCTTCTGGCAGTGCACTCTTAAACAGCGTTTCCTTCTACAATGAGAGATCTAAACATTCATTTTTTTTTTAGCCATTGTCATATTCCAATTAACGGTATCAATACTTCATCCAACAAATTAACAGCCATTGCTCTTCAAAGACGAGACAGGAGCTGGTTACAAATACCATCAGTCATAAAAGTAAAACCAAAAAAAATACATTGCATTAATCTTACATGTGCCAGAAGTGTCATACAAAACGTGGTAACGATCGCAGCCCGTACGACCAGGAGTCAGAATACGCAAGTCTATTTGACGCAGTCTCCAAAAACTTCTGCCAGAGTTTCCGGTTTAGGCTCAAGAAATGGTACCGCGACTACAAGCATCGGCAGGCG